AGATGGTGATGCTGGAGTCACAGATGGTGATGCTGGAGCTGACTAGGATAGAATCTGTTAATTCAGTTAACACTCTACAAAGGCTAGCTCCTCCTCCATCATTGTCTTTGGTCCTTTCTTTCTCTAATGATCCACCATTTTCTAATAGTTGTAGTTACCTGAGGGACTCTCCTTTCTATTGCTCGCCCTTGTTTTTCACTCTCAATAGGGTCACTCTCTTCTATGAAGCGAATCAGAGCTTTGGATGGGAAAAACTGATTTTAAGATTCAAGATATCTAATTGTCGATATTCGTTTAGCCTCGGGAATAATGTTGAGACCATAGATTTGAATGTCACATGGAAAAGTCGAACTTATTTTGGGGCCTTCGATGCTTAATATATGTATAAAGTCATTGAGAGAATGTGAAATGGTTGATTACAATGTATGTGATTTCCTTTCCCAGAAAATGGGGATTCGAGAAGTTGGTATACGAGGACGTAAAGAGAGGTATATTCATAGGGATAGGAAATACGCGGTGCAACCCCGGAATGTATTTGCAACCGGGGTACACATGTCGCAAAACTTAATAGGCAAGACGACATATAAGACAGAGGGATGTATAACGTACTTCCACTATCACGGAACCATTGCTGAACGGCGCGAACCATGCCGGCAACTCGTGAATTCGACACAAGTCACGGTCGATGGGATTCCATACGTTCTGGACACAACCATGCGCGATATTGCCGGAATTGTGAAGAGATTCGAACTCAAAATGATTGGCTCTAGATTACAGAAAACGCGGCAATAATCAAGAAATTTTTGTTTCAATCACCGCCTGGAGCGGTGACTGTGAAGGCATTTTTTATTTGTTTTTGTATCCTGTAACTAGACAGTTTTTCTAATTTTTTTATTTGATACATATATATGGATACGGGCCTTATAGATTTTAGGTGTGAAGAACATTGCATTACTAGTATGTATCTTTGATTCATTTCATTTGTTTAATAACTGTTGGATGATTGATTAATTATGTTTGGTTCGCCACAATTTTTTTTCAAAAAAAATAATTTATTTTTAATCACAATTTTTATGGAATTCATAATATTATCTTTTTATTCATATATCTTATTAATTTTTATACATACTTGTTAATCAATTATTCATACTTTGATGGGGTCCACGTAACTTTTACAACAATAGCGTTTTAATTTTTAAAATTAATTGAGCTAAAATCTGTTGGAAACTTTAAAAATGGTTTTCTATTGAAATCTGGAAATTCTCCTGGCACATTCAAAATATTAGAAAACTTTGTCTAAAAAAACAAAACTTAATTAAGGGATTTGAGTCATTTGACTTAAAAGTAACTTAATTTTGAAATTTAATTATTGTACTAAAAGAATTGACAGGCTACATTTTAACATGAACATAATTTTATTAATTATATTTGTGCTGGCCGTCGGCAATTTCAATTGATTGTCGTTTGTCCGGTTCAAGACTTCAAGTAACTATTCTATTAAACTTTCAGAATCATCAGCCAATTGAAAAACAATTAATTTTTTTCCAAGTCTCTCTGCGAATTTACTAATGTAAGTAATTAATTTATGTTTTTAGTCTTTCATTATTTATCCTTTTATCATAAATACAACATAAATAATTAATTCCTTTCTATACTTTTTAAGATAATTGTGAAATTCTTATTACTTAATTAACAAAAATAAATTAATCATTTTTTATAAACTATATTTACTGCATTTGTTTCCTACCTCCTTTAAAAATAATGCTTTTAGATATGGTATTGTATTGTGTTTGGATATTCATTCAATCAAATCATAGCGAACTCTTGACGATAAAAAGCAGTATACTATCATCCTCTCTAACATAACTATTGAAGTATGACCCAAATTTTATTAGATATTGTCATTTTAGTTGAAGAGGATTTGAAGAAGTCAAATTATGGAACAGGAAGAAAAACATGGCACATTTCCACTCTCCGTTCGCCCATCTCCTTCTTGAGCGCTCAAAATTGGAGCGCTGGCACTCGCTCAAGCGGGGATTTGTTTTGGCTCAGACCCATTTCACGCTTTAACACGTTTGCAGCATTTCAATCCTTCTAAAACTCTATGTTTAGGTTTTATATATATATTAATCAAGACTTGTAAACATAACATAACATTCATAGAGTCCTGAGAGAGCTTTAGATTTTGATTGAGAATATTTTAATCTTGTGTAATCAACATTCATTATTGATTATAGTGAAATACTCCTTATCGGATTGTGAATTTTTTTTTCATCTTGGGTTCTCACTTAAAATTTTGGTGTTCTTGTGTTTGTTTTATTTTATCTTGCAAATTATCTTTGTTGATTTCATAACAAATTGATATTAGAGTAAGATTGATATTCTACACGACAACGATGAAATATGATATCCCATTATTGGATCGCAACACGAGCTTTTCTCTCTGACAAGTGAAGATGTGCATTGTTCTTGCACAAATGGATTTGGATGATACCTTTTTAGGTTTTGATAAGATGCATTCAACCTAAACGTATAATGAAAAGTAGCGTAGGATTGAAAAGCTTTGTCATAAATTCATTTCCATCTATCAAATCACATACTTTAGGATGTTCTAAAGAAGAAAAGTGCTGATACGTTGTGGTTGAGAATGGAACAGCTTTGTATGACAAAGAGTTTGATCAGTAAGTTACATTTGAAGCAGTGCTTCTATTTTCATCGGATGTGTGAAGGTGCGTTAATAGCTGATTACCTACCTACATTTAAAGAAGTTGTGGTTAATTTAGAAATCTTGGAAGTTAAGTATGATGATGAGAATTTTAAGTTGATTTGTTGAGTTCGTTGCCACCTTTGTGTTTGACTTTTAAAGATATTATCATCTATAGTCGTGATACTTTCACTATGGTTGAGGTCTATGATACTTTATTGTCAAAAGAAAAGATAAAGCATCTTGTAGTTGGATCTAAAAGTCAGGTTGAGGCCTCGGTGTTCATGGGAAGAACCAAGATAGGAATTTTGGTGAAAATATGAAGGACAGATCGAAATCCAGACATATATAGAAAGTATGTCACTTTTTGTAAAATGAAGGGATACATTATAGCTGTTTGCTACAAATTGGAAAACAAAAAATATAATGGCTGTTTTTTACTATAGATATTGGAAAGCAACCTGAAAATAAAGGAGAAGTTGATGTTGTTGAAGATGGACCAAATGAACAAGAACTTCTTGAGATTTTTGATAGTAGTTCCAAACCTTGTAAGGATTGGGTTCTTGAATCAGCTTGTATGTTTCATATGTGTCCCAATAAGGGCTGGTTTACAACATATGAGGGAGTTTTGGAAAGTGTTGTGATTATGGAAAACAACGCACCTTGTAAAATAGCGGGAATTAGTACATTCAAGATCAAAATGTTTGGAGGAACTATCACGACACTTACTGACGTAAAGCATGTTCCAAAAATGAAGAAGAATCTCATATCTTTGAGTACCCTTGATTCAAAGAAGGTATAGATATATTGGAGAAGATGGAGTTTTGAAGATGAGTAGGGGTGCTTTTGTTGTCATGAAGGGACATAAAAAAGCTTCGTGCAGTTGTACATTTTACAGGGTTCTACAGTTACACGAGATGCATCAGTTACTACTTCTTTGACAGATGAAGAAGTTACAAAAATTTGGCATATGTGGTTTTTGAATATGAGTAAGATTGGTATGACATAATTGAATAAGAAAGGACTTCTTGATAGGGCCGATGACCAATAAATTGAAGTTCTGTGGGCAACATACCTTTAGAAAACAAAAAAAGGGGTCAAATTCACAAAGAAGAGACATAACACGAAGGGAACACTTGAGTATATCCATTCAAATCTTTGGGGACCGATGATGGTGTATTCTAAATGAGGTTTTTATTACTTGTTAATAGTAATTGATGATTTCTCCAGAAAGACTTGGGTATTATTCTTGAAACAGAAGAGTGATGTGTTTGTAACCTTTAAGGAGTGGAAAACAGTGATTGAGAAGCAGACTAGAAGTCTATGCACATATAATGAAAATGAAGTTAATAGTTTTTGTAAGTCAGAAGGGATCTTAAGACACGTGGCAATGCCCGTAGCTCCGCAGCAGAATGGTGTGGCAAAATGAATGAATAGAACCTTGACGGAAAATGTTCATTGTATTCTTTCAAATGCTGGGTAGCCCAAAACTTTATGGGCTAAAGCTGCTACTATATTTTGTTTTCTCATTAATCGCTCATCCTCAATTGCCACTGAGAAAAAGACACCAAAAAATGTATGGTCTCGAAATCCTTTTAGTTGTTCTGATTTAAAAATATTTGGGTGCTCTGCTTATGCTCATATAAATAATGGGGTGTTGGAGCCAAAGTATAGAAAGTGCATCTTTCTTGGGTATAAATCAAGTGTGAAAGGTTATAGTTGTGGTGTCCAAAAATAGGAAAGGTGGTGGTTAGTAGAGATGTAGTATTTGACGAACTTGAAATGGTTCAAAATTTGCCTCTTGGAGATTTTGGGAAAACTAAGTAACAGAATTAGAATACTTAACTAGAGTTGGAAATTAGTTTAGAAGATAAAACAAAAGCTTCAGGCCATTATAGTTCAGAGCTGAAGGAGACTAACATTTTGCCTAATTTGCCTCCACCACCAATAGTACCACAGTATTCTATAGCAAACAATAGACCTCGCAGAGAGACTAGATCTCCACAAAATTATGGAGAGCTAGACTTTGTAGCTTATGCATTGGTTGTAGCTGATAGTATTGATACCACTAAAGAGCTTACTACATATACAGAAACAATCAGTTACAGTGATTCTAGAAGATGGTTGATTGCTATGCAGGAGCAGATGTAGTCATTTAATAAAAATAGCACATGGGACTTGGTGAAATTTCCCAAGGGGAAGAAGGTTGTTTGCTGCAGGTGGTTGTTCAAAAGAAAGGAAAGTACATCTGGAGCTAATGAGGCCAGATATAAAGCCAGATTGGTAGCTAATGGTTATAACCAGATTCCAGGTGTTGACTTTATAGATTTGTTCTCACCAGTTGTAAAACATAGCTCAATGTATGCTAAGGCGGCTTGGAACTTAAGCAGATGGATGTCAAGACAATATTCTCGCATGGAGAACTTAAGGAAAATATTTATATGCAACAACTAGAGGGTTTCATAGTTACTGGAAAGGAAAACTATTTGTGCTTGTTAAAGAAGTCATTATGGATAAAACAATCACCGAGGCAATGGTGTAAGAGGTTTGATTCATTCATGACTATTCATAATTTCATTAGAAGCAATTATGATGGTTGTGTGTACTTAAGAAAGTGTGATGATAGGTGTTGTATGTTGATGACATGCTGAAGCCTAATATAAAGCAGAGGTCAGAAAAGTAAAAGCTTTGGTCAGCAAGGAGTTTGAGATAAAAGATTTGGATGCAACAAGAAATATTTTTGGTATGGAGATCTTAAGGGATAGGGAAGCTGTCGGATTGAATTTGAATCAGAAGGGGTACATTAAGAAGGTACTTTACATGTTCAATATGCATAATGCAAAAGCTATCAAACTCCTTTGGCTGCCCACTTTAAATTATCATACAACTTGTGTTCAAAGTCAAATGAAGATATTTATTACACGTCTCGGGTTCTTTATTTAAGTGCAGTGGGATCACTTATGTATGTTATGGTTTGTACACGCCCAGATTTGACACATGCAGTCAATGCAGTTAGTAGATATATGGAAAATTAGAAAAGGAAGATTGGAAAGTAGTGCAGTAGATATTTAGATATTTGAAGGGCTCT